ACATCGCTCTACCCCTCCTCTGCCGGAGGTCCAGGCACTCGCGGGGCCGAGTTAGAGCCGGACGCAGTGCGCCCGGCCTCCACACAAAAGAAGCGAGGAGTCCGCCTCTGCAGCCGCTTTGCCGCCAGAGCTGCCAAGCCCCATCGTCATGGAGAGCACATACCCAAGGCCCTTGTACCGCCATGAAGGCCGAAGACCATCTCCCAACGGCAGCGGAAAAAACAGCTGCTTGAGGGTAAGCGGGGGTCCACGTCGCGCCTCTGGAGATGTCCGGCAGCGACACCCGTCACTAATGGCGTTGCTCACAGCAGGCACGGCAAAGCTCAGCCTGGGCCTTCGCATCGCGTTTGTAACACCGGCATCCGAACAGAAACCTTCCAAATGCTGTAGACCCATGCCTGTTGAAAGGAGCAGGCAAGCAGATTATGCTTAAGACTCTCCTGCTGTGAGAGTCGCGCCTCTGGAGATGTCCGGCAGCGACACCCGTCACTAATGGCGTTGCTCACAGCAGGCACGGCAAAGCTCAGCCTGGGCCTTCGCATCGCGTTTGTAACACCGGCATCCGAACAGAAACCTTCCAAATGCTGTAGACCCATGCCTGTTGAAAGGAGCAGGCAAGCAGATTATGCTTAAGACTCTCCTGCTGTGAGAGAATAATACATCATAAAGGACGTGGAATTTAGTAACACCTCCCCAACTTACTCTTTCATGTGAGAGTCTCCATCTTCAGAAAGCTTTCTGCAATAAAATGAACACACAGCCATCAGCTCGAAGGTTTGACTTCAAATGAATGAGATCAAAATTAAGATTTCATTAGAAAGCAGGTCTTTGTCAGGAACCCGGGAAAGGATTCAAGCAAAGTAGTTAAAAAAAAAAACAAACCAAAAAACCAAACAAACCCACAATAGTAGGATGTAAAAATACTCTTAACAATAGTGGGAGGAATAAATCATAGAAGTTCTCTACTTCTATCTAAAGACCCATTACATTTAATTCGCAATGTAAGTAGCAGATAGTGAATTATCTTCTCATCTATAACAATGTAGGTCTTTAAAATCACTGGTAACCAAATCCCGAAAGTTTTGTACTGCTTTTGCAGTACAACAGATCACAAACGTAGCCCAAACACACTGAGTCCTTTATGATGCTTTTACCTTGCAAATGGCAGCCTAGTATTCCCTTTCACTTCAGATGAGCTACAGCAAGTACCACAACTCTTTGAGGATGTGCCAATCAGTCACACGTGCGCATCAGAACAGCAATGTCATCAGGGGACAGATGTGCACGTTTCTTCTGTTTTATCACCCCTCTGTATCTGGACTGGATTTGGACCGGTGGTATTTTTTTTTCATCCAAATGCCCATGGATGTTCCTCCATCCAGTTCATTAAGAAAAACACAAATGTACAAGAACTGCCATTTTATCATTAACAATGGTTAAAAATAAAGTATCTCAAAACACACAAGATCTCTCCAATAGGCACATATGGGAAAACCTGACTCAATGTCTTAATTCCTACTTGACAAGGGTTTATTTCATAACACATTAGGCTTTATTCTTTCCAAATGAATTTACAGTAAATGCCTTTAACCAGAAGATGCATGTTTTAGAACACAGTTACTGTCTTGCTCCCTCTTAGTCAACAACGAAATCAATATCCTTCAGTAAGAGGGACACAGTCCAAAATTTTCACTTAACAGACAAGCAAATTAAAAATTGTTTCTCTCAGTTCAATTCCTAGCTCTTCTCTGGCAGGAACTTCTACATCTTCCTTACATCACCTGTTACCTGTTTCCAAAGGGAAATAAACATAGCACACACTTCAAGAAGAGACAGTTACAAACACATGCAGATGATCGCTTCTGCTTTGAAAGCCTACCAACCACTTTGCAGATCACAACACTGTTGAGTCTGCCAGCCCAGCATGCAGCTCTACCCGAAGTCCAAAGCGCCTCAAGCACATGGGTAGTTTTACATCAAAACTGAACATAAGTGTCCTCAGAAGTCCATGGGCAGCATTTTGTGTCAAGTAATACTATGTCTCGGGCAAAAGCTCAGCAAACTTAGCATTCCTTTTTCACCTGTGAAGACTAAACATTATTTCCATGCCTAACCTAGAAACTGGAACAGAAGAAACAAAGAGTGTAAGTGATGATGAAGCTAGCCTAAAAATCTTTCATAACTCAGATCATGAGTTTTTTTGATACTCTCCTTGAGTCAGACAGGTGGATGAAATGGAACATGACTATTTGTTTAGATTCTCATGCATACACAGCAGTCATTTCAGTCATACAAAGTTATTTTTATTTAGCAATTGCATCTTCAACAGTTACTCCATTATTAAGATTTTTCTTAAATAAAAATTCTGCTTTCCATAAAAAAAGCTGTAATTAACAAAAGTTGCTTTCTCTTTTTTTCACCTAATTTTCTGAAATGATGTAGAAGGAACAGCACGCTTAGAAGAGCCAGATTCTTCCTCATTTTCATGTAAACGCTTTCTTGTGGTTGGCTAAAAGGAAGATACAGCAGGATGGCTACATGAAATCAGGTAAGACAGAGACTAACTGTTTTTTGCTTGCTACAGAATAATGTGACCAAAAAACCAGCATGACTAACAAATGTTTCTCTACCAAGATCTATTTCATTATATTTGATCCCTCTCATATAAGACATTGCTCCCAGCTTTATCTTCCACTACTGTTTAAAATTCTCCTAAATAGCATCTAGTAATGAATATCACAATACCATTCTAAACTTTCACTAACATGAGAACTTTTTCCTTGCATACTAAACATTTGTGACTTGAATCCATCAAAATATACATGTTCAACAATTTAGTTTTAAATACATGAATAATCCTTTAAGGCCCACAAGACTATTTCTATATTTCTATACAAAGCGTCTTGCCAAAGCACAGAAATCCATTGCATCTATTCAGAAAGCAGAGATAATTAGCAGACTGTAACATACAGTCAAAATGCACATTTCTCCAAGTTCTCAAAATTAATTGATTTTCTTATTATGGATTACTTTGAAATCTAGTTTCTCTATGCATCAAGTACTAATCTTCAAATATTAAATATACCATTTTTGATGTTTGTGGTGGATTCATACTGGCATGTGTCTGAGCAAGTAGCTGTTGAAATGTACTCTTCATATCCTCATCCTGTGAAAAAAAAAGCAGTAACTCTAAGTAGTATATGGAATATTTGAGGGAAAAGCCTACATTTTGGCTAATGAAATGGATCAGCAATGAAAGAATAAATTAATAAAGGAGAAAAGGAGGTTTCCCCACTTGCCCCCAAATAAACACCTTCCTAACATGGCTTCACCAAGGGCAAGTCTTGCCTGATCAGCCTAGTGGCCTTCTGTAATGGAGTGACTACATCAGTGGGCAAGGGAAGAGCTGTGGATGCCATCTACCTGGACTTCTGTAAGGCCTCTGATGTGGTCCCCCACAACATCCTTTTCTCTACATTGGAGAGACGCCGATTTGACGGACGGACCGTTCAATGGATAAGGAATTGGCTGGATGGTCACAACCAGAGAGTAGTGGTCAACGGCTCAATGTCTGGATGGAGATCAGTGACAGCTGGTGTACCTCGGGGGTCAGAACTGGGATCAGTACTGTTTACTATCTTCATCAATGACAAAGGCAGTGCAATCAAGTGCACCCTCAGCAAGTTTGCAGATGACACCAAGCTGAGTGGTGCGGTTGACAGTCTGAGGGATGCAATGCCGTCCAGAGGGACCTAGACAAGCTCGGGAAGCGGGCCCATGGAACCTCATGAGGCTCAACAAGGCCAAGTGCAAGGTCCTGCACCTAGGTCAGGGTAATCCCCAATATTGATATAGGCTGGGGGAGGGAAGGATCGAGGGCAGCCCTGCCAAGGACTTGCAGGTGCTGGTGGATGAAAAACTCAATATGAGGCAGCAATGTGTGCTCGCAGCCCAGAAAACCAACCGCATCCTGGGCTGCATCAGAAGTGTGGCCAGCAGGTCGAGGTGGGGGATCCTCCCCCTCTGCTCTGGTGAGACCCCAGGCCAGGCTGGATGGGGCTGGGAGCAACCTGGTCTGGTGGGAGGTGTCCCTGCCCATGGCAGGGGGATTGGACTAGATGGACAGGGGGATCTTTAAGGTCCCTTCCAATCCAAACCATTCTATGATTCTGATATGCCCCACAGTAGAATTTTGAGCAGCTGGTTTATGTACAGTGCTGGTAAGAAAATAGTTCTGTTCCATTCTATAAAGAAACAGTTTCCCCTCAATAACTACTTAGCTAAAACTAGCCAAGCTAAAACTGAACTTGTAGTTTCATTCAACAAAGTATAACACCACTGAAAGAACTAAACATACAGGCTACGAGTTTGTGCAGGTAATTCATCAGTCAGCCTCATCAGGACTTGGGGCAGAGTTAATCGCTCTTGAAAAACAAGTATCTTCCTTATAGTCTTATATTCTGTTCTCATAATGACTTCCCTTTCTAACAGCATATTTTCATTTCCACTAGCTCAGCTTCATCAGTATCCCAAATTGGGCAGTTTTCATCACCACCACCCCCAAAAGCAAACCTGCTGTAGGTAGAGAAGAACTAGCTAAAACACCCGTACCCTAAAAAAAAAAAAAAGAAAATTCAAACAAACCAACCCCAACCTCACACACCAAGCTTTCAAACAAAAATGTTACCTTAAACAGCATCCTACAGTTATCTTTAACATAAGTAAGTCGATAGAACATATTAAAGGTTGTAAATGGAAATATTTGGAAAGCAAATATTCAGAAAATGGGCAATGAGCAAGCATTTCACTGAAGTGAAGTTTCACTTTTGAAAACCCAAAGTATTATCAACAAATATTGTATTATTCATAGAGCATTTGTATCTCTACAGAACTTCACTGGATAGAACAGCTCATTCTCTATTTACCCGAAGTCGTAAACAAAGAATGAGCTGTTAGTGGAGGGAAAGTGTCTGGGAGAGACACACTGCGAAAGAAGTGGACTTAGTCTCAGTTGTGCACAAACAGGCCTGGCTGCAGAAGCTCTAAGAGAAGGGAAGGACAGCAGAGGGGAGCAAAGGGCAGCAGAGGTCCTTTGTTAAGAGAAGCTAGTTTAGCAGAAAGTCAGGCATGTTTCAAGAGCAAAAGCTAGCACACAACCTCATTCTGGTTCAGCTGCCAATGACTGGGGTGTTCTTGGTGTAGGCTGGGCAACCTCAGGGACCAGGAAATCAGTGCAAACAAGATATTTAGTTGACATAGTTACTCCCCGTTTTAAAATCTCATTCTCTAGTTTCAGCAATTTCTCCTGCAGGAATTTTATTAGAATAGGTTGCTATGGATTACCGCCAAACCCTAAATCAGACTTCCAAACCTGAAATCAGGTCTTTAAACCTTTCCCAGGACTAAATGAAGCATGCTGCTCATAGTGATTTAATACAGATCATTTCCTTTGGCTGAGCTTTGAACAGTGACTGTGTGTCCACCAACTGAACAACTGATCTAGAACCAAAACCAGACATTTATTCTCAACAACCGACTGAAGCTAACAGGTTGAATAATTTTGTTTCATTATCACAGCAAAGACTGGGAAACTCAGAGAAGTGAATGGGACATTCACTGCTAGAGACAACTAGCAATAAGGATCATTGAGCTCCTAAGGATTTCAGATGTTTTAACTTGTTTTTTTGGGTGAAGGCAGGGGAAGGGATTCTTTTCCTAAGCTATGGAATATTGCAGTATCTCCTTTTTTCATTTACATATGTTCTTAAGTGCTACAAAGAGGCTTTGATGTGAATATCCAGTTTATTTATATAGATTTGGGACTTGTCTTTCTTTTCCAGTGTTACCTGTTTTGATTGTGGCTACATTTGAGTTGATGAGTAAGACAAGATAAATATTTTTCCATTTATATAACAAACACCTAAGTTTTTCTTCAGCATGCAACCAAACTAATCTTGTCCCATTCAAAAGATAGCAGTGAAGTTTTCAGAGGCAGAAACAGCAATTAATTGTTTATATGCTTTTGAAAAATGTTTTAAGTACCTGGTAAATACAGGTAAGACATCTCCACTTAGTAGTACTTAGGTTTAAGGAGCTCACTAAGTTTTAAAGTTTTAGAATGAAGCAAAGAATGATGTAAACAGCACAGGTATTTAAAACACTAATTTGAAAGCACTACTGGTTTAAATAAAGCTGTGGAAATTAAGTTTTGTTTGGAGAACATGCTTACTTGTAATATCTGAAAAATTCCCTAGTGGACCCAAAATCATTAGAAAGGGCTAACAGGCATTAGCTGTATGCATGCGTCTGTTGTGGTTTTTCCATACTAACTTTTAAAGACAATACTTACAGACAACACAAGAGGGAGTGGGGAGCCAGTAACTCCTTCTCACTACTCACAGTAACAGGACTCAAGGACCTCTTTTGGTGGTAGTATTCAACGTGTGTGATATCTAGAACTGAACATATTGGATGTTGGCCTTCCAAGCAGGCAGGGTACATCACCTATAAACAACTGATACTCTTAGTAACAGCCCGTGAAGGGAAACAGTTTAAAGAATGGCATCTGAATGCTAGACGACATTTGGATTTGTGGGTATGTTTTCTGAAACTTTTTGTCCCGTCTTCGAAATTAAACAGTAAGAGGTGTCCCTAAAGGGAATATCTAACCAAGATGGTAACAACTTGAATTTACATACCGAAATATCTCAAATTCTTAGCTTGTCTGTAACAGCGTCATATATTTCCCCTTTCCCATTATGCATACCAGTGATTCTTAAAGTCACTGTAGCATGGTTTATCAATAACATTTCCTGCTCAGAATTGTAATCTAAATGTAAGAATCTACATCCAATTAACACACTGTAAAAGTCACACACAAAACTATAGTAGTAAAAGCCAGGA